CTAAATGTTTTTTTTAAGTAACCCAGTTTTGTACATGAAATCTGTAATACCTGATTTTTACACTCTGCCTCTACATGAGCCAACTTTGTCTGTGCAAGTTCCAACTCAAGCTCTCTTATTCTTTCTTGAGCCCTCTGAAGTTGAGGATCAACTGCATTCTTATTATTAGGTGCAGATGTATTGGTGTGTACATCTTGACTATCCACAGGATGACCCAATAATTCTCTGCATCGGACACAGTTCTTTATCTGACCCTAAAAGGAATAAACAATTTAAAAATGAATGTCATTTTCCACTCTAGTTCAAAACTAGAGGTACTACAATGGTTCGGACGTATTTTCTCACATTATTTCCTTTTGCAATTTTTGAAAATTGAGAGAGTTCAACGAAAATGAGACATGCATGGTTCTTTTACAAGTACCAGGTTCTATTCATGAAAAAAAATTCAGAACAAATTTGCAGCACATTTTGAGAAAATGTTCTATTTATAATTTGAAACAACTTCTAGCAGAAATTATGTTAAAAACGACTCTTCCGTCTACAAATTGTACATGACCCTTTTTAAATGTTCTAAAAAGTCAGTTCTTTAAGTCACAAATCTCCAGCTTCAAATTTGTAGTTATGCAATGTTAACATTTACTCAATTTTGAAAATAGAGAGAATTCACCAAAAAAGTAAGCGGCACCAATTTTTTTTACCATTCTTTGCTACATTTGACCAAATTTCACTTAATTATTTATTTGCCTTAATTTCACACGAAATTACACAAAAACTACTTTTACAATTTTAGGAAAGATAGGGGATTTGATGCAAAAATCAGACCAACACCATTCTTTTAAGTGTCTTTTATGCTATTCGCGGACAAAGTTTAATAAAATAATTTTGAAAATGTAGTTGAGGCTTCATGTAAAGTGTCCTCAAAAATCAAACCGGTTTAAATTTATAAGGCCTCAGAGTCCTTTAAATTGATCAGGGAATATCAATTTTATAGAAAATCCTCTTTAACGGTTGAGGTACTGGCGTTGATCATGGACAGACAGACATTTTGCCATCAATAATAATAATTTTTCAATAAGAAGGAGCCACAAAACATTGATTTTGACTACACAGTGTGGTAGAGTAAGTAATTTACTACATAAAGGAACCAGATTTATCAAATCTTCAAATTGTGTCTGGGTGTACAGGATGTTTTAAGTGCACAAAGGGAGAGTAAATGAATATTTATTTAATTTATGAAATTATTTATGCGGAAAACTACTTGTGTCCAGTTAAAATTTATTGAGGGGGGGAAGGAACAAACCTTCAGAAACAAAGTAAGGAATCACCTCGATAATTTCTCTAAGGCTCAAAGAAAACTTTATGAAACCCTGATCATCCTTAAATGATCACTCACTACAGTTCCTACATAGATTTCCTTGTAATTAATATGTATATGACTAAATCTCTACATTTATTCATTCTACTTACTCGCAGTTCATTTAATGCAGCCTTTGCAGCGACCTGTTCATTATCTAATCGTTGACATATCTAGAAGAGAAAACCAATACAAAAAATTTTAGAACTACCAAATAGTTAAATCCAAAAGAAAGGGTAATTATTTAAGA